GTCACAGCACGAGCTTGACTAACGAACAACCCCGGCACTGCGATCGCGAAGCACGTCAAGATGCAGCTTCTTTCACTCCTCGCTGTTGGTGGCCTCACAGCAAGCGTTTCCGCACGAAGCGCTCGCTCTGTCGGCAAGAAGACGGAACTTCCTCGTCCTCGTCTGACTGTCCCCGAGACCAGTCTTCGCCCTCACAAGCGTCAGACCACTCAGATTATCACCACTGAGGCGTCCAAGGGTATGGTGAACGCTTACTCTTACGCACCACTAGCTAACAACTCTCAGCATTCGCTGTCAACGGAACTGCGGGAGCGATCCCCGACGTCGACTTCGACATTGGCGAGTCCTACGCTGGTCTTTTGCCCATCAGCGATGCCGCCAACGAGACCTCTGAACTGTACTTCTGGTTCTTCCCATCCGAGAACCCAGACGCAGATGACGAGATTACTATCTGGCTGAACGGTATGAACAGTCACAAGTACATGATCGACTACCTCTAACATATTTCATAGGTGGCCCAGGCTGCTCTTCTCTAGAGGGATTCCTCCAAGAGAATGGTCCCATCTCCTGGCAATACGGCAGCGGCCCAGCAGCTGTATACAACCCCTGGAACTGGGCCAACCTTACCAACATGGTCTGGGTCGAACAGCCCGTAGGAACCGGATTCACCCAAGGAAACGCCACCGCTACCTCCCAGGAAGAAACCGCTGAGGAGTTCCTCGGCTTCTTCAAGAACTTCATCGACACATTCGGTCTGCAGAACCGTAAGGTGTACATCACTGGCGAGTCGTACGCCGGACGCTACGTACCTTACATCGCCGATGCCATGTTGAGCAAGAACGACTCCTGCTACTACGACGTCAAGGGCATCATGTTCTACGACCCCAGTGTGGCCGAGGACGTCCTGCTAGAGGACATCCCAGCTGTCCCCTTCGTCGACCAATGGGCCGGTCTCTTCAACTTCAACCAGACCTTCATGGACGACATCCACAACCGCTCCGAGGCCTGCGGCTACACCGAGTACATGGAGAAGTACCTTACTTTCCCTCCTCCCAGCAAGCTCCCGTACCCCGAGAAGGACGCCAAGACTGAAGGCTGCGGGCTGTGGGAAGACATTTACAACGCCGTCTTCTACACCAACCCTTGCTTCGACGTCTACGCCATCGCCACCACCTGCCCTCTCCTCTGGGATGTTCTCGGTTTCCCTGGTTCTTTCGACTACCTCCCTCCCAACACCGAGATCTACTTCAACCGCACCGAAGTCCAGAAGGCCATCAACGCGCCCATCCAGCCATGGGCTGAGTGCTCCAACGGCGTTCTCGACACCGACTCGTCTCCCCAGTCGTCCTGGGAAGTTATTCCCCGCGTCATCGACGCCCTAGACCGCACCGTCATCGCACACGGCGAGCTCGACTACATCCTGCTCTACAATGGTACTCTCATGGCTATCCAGAACATGACTTGGGGCGGCATGCAAGGTTTCCAGAACCCACCTGTCGATGACTTCTACGTTCCTTACCACGACGACTTGAGCCTTACCAGTTTGAGCGCCAAGGGTCTCATGGGCAAGACCATCACTGAGAGGAAGTTGACGTACGTCCAGCAGGCTCTGAGTGGACACATGGTACCCCAGTACCAGCCTAGCAGCGCGTACCGCCAGCTTGAGTTCTTGCTTGGACGTATTGAGAGCCTGACCAGCCGGGAGCCTTTCACCACGCTGCCCAAGATCCCGCAGAGCAACGAGACCAGCATTGTTTCCCGGGATTTGGGAGCCATGCGTGGAGAGTTCAAGAAGTGGTTCTAGACTATTAGTATGCCCGTTTAATGGTATAACGCAATGGATGCGACTACGTAATGTAAATCATGAAGCATGCGTGATGTCTGCGTAGATTGATTGTTCGATTGTGATATCGAAATAACACTAACCGGCAACGTTCTCAGCCACCCTCCGCCCATCTTTACCCCACACCCCTTCTTGTCTCTGCGCCCTCTCCTCCGGCACTTCAGCAAAGATCTTGGTGATAGCCTCAATCGTGGTATTCCCCCCACTGAAGACGACGCCAATGTTCCAGCCCTTATCCCCAGCCTCTCTCTCCACCATGTTCCTAAAGTCCTCGTTGTACAGGATAGTCGCCAGACCCACAACCGCGCTCGGCTCGACGAAGCACTTCATCCTCTCCAACACCAGCTTCATCGCGTCTTTGATGTTCTGCTCTGTGACGGCGTATAGACTATGCACGTATTCCTTGTTCGAAATAACACCCCATGTATGGTCACCGAGGGGCGTACGCAGGCCATCGGCGATGGTCAGGGTCTTGACGCTGGTAACGCGTTCGCCCTGTTCAACGCCCCTCCTCGCATCGTCACCACCCTGGAAACTAGGTTCTGCGCCGAAGACGCGTACCCCAGTGCCGTGGAGAGCGACTGCGATGCCACTCAGCATGCCGCCGCCACCACAGGGCGCGATGACTGCGTCGAGCTTCTCGCCGCTTCCCAGAAGCTTGCTGACTTGATCCTGTATCTCCAGCGCCATGGTGCCCTGGCCGAGTATGATGTGGGGATGGTCATAGGGAGGGATCAGGGTAGCGCCTGTGTCCTTGATTACGTCTGCGACGACGGCTTCGCGTTCGGTGCTCGTGGAGCCGGAGAAGTGGATGTTGGCGTCTTGTGACCGCGTGCCTGCTATCTTCGAGGGCGTGGATATGGAGGGCATGACGATGTGTGCGGGTATGGAGAAGGTTCTTGCGGCAAGCGCGAGGGCCTGCGCATGGTTTCCTGTTGATGTTAGTCCTGCCTGCCTGGTATGGTCATAAGTAGACGTACCGCTACTGTGTGTAACCACTCCCTTTCTTTGCACCTCTTCCAATCCATCCCGCTCGATCAATCGCGTGACGGCATGGAAAGCACCGCGTACTTTGAAGGCGCCGATGCGCTGGAAGTTTTCGCACTTGAAGAAGAGGTTCACCTTGGGCCTAGCGGGCTCTTGGCCTTCCCATTGTGTCCCCTGGAGTGCTTCCGGAGTCTGAGGCTTGTTGGCGAGAGTGTTCAAGGTGGTATTGGTCAAGACGGGCGTGTCATGGATGTGCGGCTTGATGAGGGCGTGGGCGGCTTCGACCGAGGCGCGCGTCAGGGAGGCATGGGGGGCTGCGGAGGACATGGCTGCCACTGACGAGAGCGGCGATGAGCTGGATGCATCCTGATTAAAACTGTTCAGGATGTGACTCAATGGGGGACCCGGGTACGATGGTGGGGGATAGCGCGGAGAGGAAGGCAAGGCAGACAGCGGGGACGCTCCGCGCGGGTCGCGCCTTCTGGCCCAACACGCGACGGATACTTTTCCGAGTTTCTCCTCCACTCCTCTCTACTACCTTGACGCGCCTTTCGACACAACGGCAGCTCGTCCATGTACAGTAGTTACGACGATGCCTTTACCCCAAATTCGCTGTTTCAAGTAAGACGCCAGACAAGTGCTCACCGAGTCGTTGTTTACCACCCACGCGCCTGCAATGTCTGCCATTGCCATTGCCAACGTTTCGATCCAAGAAGAACTCAAGTGTCATTCTGGCCGACCTGTCTCTTTCTTCATACTAAGCTGCCAGGGTCAGCTATTATGTATACCTTATTCGACACCATGATGGGACCCACTTGCAACCCACGGTTCCATTCCTCCATCTCCCATAGTTACGTGACTTCGAACTATGCGATGCTAATAAAACGAAGATCCTGTCCGTTTGGATCGATCTCTCATACCATACTCGGACAGTCCGGTAATACATATATCGCACTAAAGGTGAGTGAAACTGGAAGTCCGTGCAATCGGGTCAAGATCACGTCGATACGCAGCAACCACACACCCAGAAGAGATTAACAGCCAAGTCGACTCCCCACTCAGGCAGCTGGTTGAACTGTTCGGAGGGTTGACTATGGCCGAGATCGAGTCCCACTCACCTCACACCATTCTTCCCGCATCGGAATCACCACCCTCGACTTTGCCGATGAATAACGCGCCATCATCAGTTCCCAACGACAAATCAAGCCGACCCATCTCGTCAACCCAGTCCGAAGAGATGACTTCTCCATCGACTACGAATCCGCACCTCCCTAACGAGTTGATTATCCAAATCCTCCATCACGCTCTTCGTCTCGGCCTCGGCTCATCCGTGCCACGACTACCTGTTTGCGCTGATCGATTTCAGAGCCATATATCTCGCAACGGTCGCTTGGCTAGGTATCTGGTTATATCCAAGTCACTCTATCCCCTCGTTCTAGAGGCTTTTTACCGCGAGAACGAGTTTCGATGCGCCTCAGGCGGGAGAACTCTGAAGGCGTGGATGGAAGATAAGCCTCGGGAAAGCCCTGTCTTGCTGCCCCCGCCACATGCCAGACAGCATATTCGGCGACTCGAGTTGATGATCTCTTTGGAATACTTTGGTCGGGATTTTACCACTTCATACCAGTGGCAGACACTCGTCAAGCTTTGTTCTGGGAGGGCCAGACTTACTAGAGTCGAATTCTTGAGCTTGGTGATAAAAGAAGCCCCGGGCATACATTTTGGAGAAAAAACTGTTTTGAACCGACTAAGGGATGAGGGTTTTGTAATTAGGGCGAAGAAAGAGGTGGTCATAGAAGGTTGGTGGCAGGCAGAGCCATTTATCAAGGTGGAGGCTGAGGTAGTGAAATGGATATAACAGTTCGTCAGGAGTAGAAGTCTCCCTCACATTATTAGCAGTCATAAGGAACTTCATAAGTCAGCCAGGAGTTCTTTAATGTACTATCAGAGATCAATCATGCACCTAATAATTGAGCCTGAAGACATATGTAGCACTGGAAATCATCGCATTGAAACATGTCACAATAGCCAAGAGGTACTCTCAGTAATCACAAGCAACATTCACGATGCACAAAAGCATGTTGGAGAAGACAATGGATCTTATTCTGCACTACACTATGGCAATGACCAAGCCAGGAGACGACAAACCCCACAAACCACCACAAACAATTCACAAATGTGCCCAGAGTCCACTCACCATGGCGCTCCTCAAGCCGATGATGCGAGCCTCGCCGGTGATGTTGCACTCATCACGAGCGCCGATCATGAACCGGCCCCCGTCGTAGATAGCGACCGCCGCCGCGGAGTCGGGGTTGCTGAAGATTGGAACGATGTGAAGCTGGATCGTCCTCAGATCCTGGAAGGTCATCAGATCAGAGAGCGTCCGCAAGGTGTGGGCACTACGGCAGTGCTTGAAGAGGTCGGCCGTGTTGCGGAAGTATATCCTGTTGTCGAGGATGCGGTCAGGAAGCACAGTCGGCTCTCCTGCGTAGCTGTCGGTCAGGACAAGCTGCACCCGGATGTGGCGGAGGAAGCGGAGGAGGTGGATAGGGGGCATGAGTGGCGTGCGGTGTGATGTCGTCGAGATGAAGTCGAAATAGTTTTCCTCGTAGAAAATTTGAAGAGCGACCACGTGGAATTGACGAGAGACGACGGAGATATTGTGCAGCATGCACTTGTTGAGCATAGCGAAGCGTGTGGCGTTGATTGGCCTGCCCCGAGGCGAGACCGAGGAGAAGATGAGGATGTTCATGAGAATCATCTTGAGGATCTCGTTGGGGAGAACAACGCTCGGACGAGGCGCAGGCGTCACCATTGTGATGGTGTTTCGAGAAGACATCGTGCTTGTAGCCGATGTGAGTGGAGGTGATGAGGAAGCGTGTTGTGCTTTGAGGTGTGTGAGAAGGTTTGAAAGTGCTCGGAAAAAGAAGGTTGAAGGCGACTTTGTACTGGAGAAGTGAGGAACTTTCAGGCTGAGGGAACTGAAGGGAGGCAGGGGGACGCCAGTTTATATAGACAGAGGGAGACCCTCTAGCGTCTCCTCTAGAAGAACGGTACGCCGCTGAAGAAGAGCGAGGAAGTCTGAAGCTTCCTAATTTTCCAGAATGAAAGCATGAAGTCTGCGATGAAACCGGGCCCTTGCCCTATCATATGGCCTCTGATTCGTTCTGGGGCTGTCCATTCTATGTCCTTCACCGCACTAGTAGCCTTCATATCTGACTAGACGTCTTCTTTAGGCTCCGATTGGCGGCAGAAAGGCTACCGGAGACCTTCTGGCAGTATGAATGCTGCCTTGGCAGTGAATCAATCACTAGTGATGCTTCTTTCAGCGACGATGGAAGAAGAATGAATCGAGTATGTCCAGGACTAGATCTAAAAGGGGTAGGTGGCTTCCTTGGATATCCGTACGAGTCCGGCGAATTAAGACACTTATACGACGGCGTGGCTCTGTTGGTACCAAGTGAAAGGGTGAGGGCTACGATGGTGGGAGGCCGAAGCAATCGCTGAGGTAGAGGAGCCTTCCAAAGATTGGAAAAATGACTTCCAGGAGGCTGCACGTGTGGATAAAGCTGTGCCATCCTGCAAGAAGAGCTCAAGTAGTGTCTGACACCTTCAGTCTTGCTTTACTTGCGGTGGAAGCACCATGAAGCTGGCTGGAGTCAGCTATGGCGTTCGTTTGCCAGGTTTTCCTTTGCGTTGCACAGCTGGCTGCGTCCGCGGGGAAGCTGTTACCAAACACCGACCACCAATATCGACACCGAAATTTTGGAGCACCAGCTGCACCCCCAGTTGATGAAGCGACAGCACAGGAAGTGAGCTGTACCCATCGCATACTTCTCACGAGACGAACCAGACCTTTTGCCCGCAGTCGTTGCCGATGCAAGCTGCCGCGCCTGCTCCTCTCGAACCCCGACGACCCTCCCCCCTCTTCTCCGCAACGGCGGCGACAACGAGTTGAAGGAACTTGGACGAGATGACAACAAGAATAATGCCCGAACAACTGCACTGTGCAAGATAGGCCAGCTGAGGAGACAAGAGTGGTGACTCCGTGGCAAGAAAACTCTTCAGCTTCGACGCGGGAGGGTGTCGCAACAAGCCAACGAGAAGGAACATGAAAAGCGGCTGTGGAAGACAGCGCGATGGCAGCATGAAGACGCCACTTCAATGCTCATCGAAAAGAGATCCAGAGAGCAGGCCGGGCACAGGCGATACCAGGACACCATGTAGGCAAACCTCGGCGGAGAAGAGCCATGTGAACCTGGAGATACATTAGTCGGTGGTCACAGAGGACGGAATTTGGCAAATCAGGTTAGAATCATGGCAATAGTATCAGAGACAACAGGTCGCAGTCGCCACGCTGCGCGGCAGGACACACATCAGCGGACGCGAAAGTCGAGGTCCAGGACTAATGGGTGCATGGGCGCATGGCACGCATACGAACAAGCTCGTGGTCTGCGAACCGTACCTCGAACGTACCCCAGGATATACACTGCTACATCGCTCGTAGAGCGCATAACCTTAGGGTAAGTTTCGGTATCAGGATCGCGACACGTTGAGAACGAGCTTATTCGTACTGTGGGGTGTCGCAATACCGTGAGAGGGACCTGTAAACATATTAGTTGACGTCAATGAGTGCAAATTTCACAGGTCAATAGCAAGGCAATGAGGCAAGGTGTTGGTGTAGGAAAGATGGAGGTCCTAGGCAGCTGGGCAAGATTGAACTTCCGCCTTGGTCTGTGCACGCTAGCATGGTCATCTCCGTCGCCGGCCATGATCGCTCCCAGTCATCTCCTACAACCTTGGCAATTACACACCGCTTCCCATGCGCGAAATCGACAATACATCGTGATATGCTATGACCAAGAGGTCCCATGCCAACATAGCCTCCTCGCAAGCAGAACCTCCAGAGCGGCAGACGTCCTACGATGGGGAGCGTAGCGGAAGCCACGAGGACGGGGATGGCTCGTCGCTGAAGAAACCGCGATCGTTCATGGCGACCTTGGTATGTGGTCAAGAAATGACATGCACTGCTCTGCTGACTAGAGAAGGCTTGCGACATCTGCAGATCGAGGAAGACGCGCTGTGATGAAGATCGGCCAAGATGCGGCTACTGTAGGAACATGAACTTGGAGTGCACGTATCAGGCACCACGCAGTACGAAGAAAGACCAGTCATTGACTTTGGCAATTAATGCAATTCGAAGACTGGAAGCAAAGATCGAAGACCTGACAACGGCGATCAATACGCCCAAGCCGTCGTCTACATTACCACTTTCGCCGGCAGGGCCCATCAACGACCATCAGTCACCCCACACCATCTTCTCACAACCAAGTCCAGGATACCACGTCTCGGCGATGCCCTCTCACCACTCCCATAATGGCCGGCTAAGCATACACGACTTAGCTATGTCTCCACAAGTCGTGGGATCTCCCACCAAAAGTCCCTTCCCCGTGATGGAAGTTCAAGGCGCAGTAAATCTTTCCTTCAGTCAACATCGTGTCGCACTCTGGCCGGCCATACAGCAAATACTCCCTAACGGTTTCGTCACTGTTCGAGCAGAGCTTCCGGAGGACTATATAGTCGATATTGAAAATAGGCGAGCGCACTTGCCGATACACATCGATCGTCCCTACGGCACTGTCCCTGAGAGCTGGCTGATGAGCCTCCCGCAATCGGCAGTCAAAGGCCTTGCAGATGCCTATTTTGCCGTCTTCCACCGTAACACGCCGATTCTTGACAAGTATCATTTCTTCTCAAGCACACTAGGCACAGCTATGGAGAACGAGTTCGGGTACGACGTGGAGTCTGCGCTGGTACTCAACGTGCTTGCCTTAGGTTGCTTAGCTGTCAAGGCTCACGAGGAAGGCGACTTTGCTCTTCCCTCGCGCCACTCTCCAGCCAGACGTGGCTTCGTGCACCCGGATTGGTACGAACTCGTTGCAGATGATCCACCGGGGCTCAAATTCTTCAACGAAGCAAGGCATCGCTTCGGCTTCCTCATGTGCGATAACGACGTTCAAGCAGGTCAGTTTTACATGCTTTCGACTCTGTATTATGCTCAGATTCTCCGGCCTCTCGATTCTTGGACCACCGTGAACAGGGCGGCCCTCTGTTGCGCTAGCATTCTCACCCGCACGGGAGCGATTGACTATGACACATGGGAGGGCGATATGTTATCACGACTGTTTTGGTGTACTTTGATGTACGAAACAGTCATCACGCAGGAACTGGACCTACTTCCGCATAGCGGCCTGTTAGACTACGAGCCAGATACGCCTCTACCGAAGTTTACCCAATGCCCACGGCCAAAGACGTCCATATCGGGATTGCTTACCGATGAAGAGGACTCCTTCTTCAACTTCCACTTCCTCGCTCAAGCGGCCCATCGCATCATCCTGACACGCGTGAAGCAGAGCCTGTATACCTTTGCGGAGAAAGACGGCTACCCCAGCGCCAGTTTGACAGCCGAAATGCATCACCAACTAGAGCAGTGGCGCGCAAACCTCCCACCGTCGCTCCAATTCTCCGACACCGACAACGCAAGTGACTCGCCCAGCCCTGCACACGTCATCGCGAAGGCCATGCTGCGAAGTCGCTACCTCGTCGCTAAGTTCCACATCGGCCGTCCGTTCCTCTACAAAGCGCTGCATGCACCAGCGTACACCAGTGATGCAGAGTACAACGAGGTGCGCGAGGGTCTGCGCGGTGGGATGTACTGGCCAACTACCATGGGTCTTTGCACGCAAATGTTGTCAGCTCTACCAATCAAGTTTGGGTGGTGTTGTCAGTGCTTTGGACAGGTGCTATTGTTTCACGCCGTAGCGCAGTCGCCAGACCCAAGATTACGAGAAACGCTGCCGGAAGGATGGCGCGAGTGGGTAGGTATCATGATGAGCCTGATCGAGAGTTGTGCGAGAAGCAGTCCTGGTATTGCAAAGGACTACGAGCTATTGCGCTTGTTGGACGCCTAGCTCCAGAAGTGTAGTCTGGACACGCTTGCGAAACTCTACAGATTGCTGCTGTAACGTCAGTGTAGTCCGTAGGTATACAGCCAACATGATTAAATTCATAACGAGTTCGCGTGAGACCCTGCGTCACGCTGCCAGACGTAACACGGTACCACAGATACTCGAGCCTGGCTTTTGTCAGCCGTCGTCGTCGCATTTGGGCACTCAACGTACGACTAATTCTGCGTTTCAGCAAAAGTCAATTGCGAGAAGGTCGAGACGAAGGAAGACACGATGTGCCTTGTTTGCGGTTTCTAGGATGCTCATGTCTTATGCTCCGACTGATGCTGATGTTTCAGCACCGCCGCACCCGCGTCGATCCTGCCATCTACAGCCGAGTACGAGAGGCTTGCGTGTACAAAGTGGCTACTAAGCTGACTATCGTAAAGGCGCATGCGGCACCGGCTCGTTGGTCTAACCCAGTGCAAGTCACATTGCGCACAAGAACCAGGTTGTGAATACGCAACATGCCCATGTTTGCATCTCGAATGCCCTCATCGCAGTCCCACAGGCGTCGACGGGGAGCATAGCACAGCCACAGGGCGCGCATCCCAGATCTCGGCGTTTCAGCCTTCCAGCCCTCGCCCGGCGCGGCAGCTAAGCCCAATCAGACGGTAGTGGCCCCTGCATTGCTTAGGGATGGAAGCAAGGATCTACCGACTGACACAACTGCCACTAAACTGGGGGCGTGTCGGCCGCCTCCTTTGAGGCAGAGGGACACTTTGCTTGTCATCCTGCTTTTCTTACCACTCCTTTTTGGCACCCGGCGCAACGCTTCTCCGGTATCCGCATACCTTGTCATCTTTTGCGTACACCACCTTCTTTCCGCGGTGTCCACTACGCGACGCACGCTTCATTGTTGAGATTAGGCATCTTTGGGAAATTATTGGATTGGACTGGACCAACTGGATCTGGATGCAAAAGAGCGAGGGCCTGATACCCGAATTCCACGCGCAGGCGAACTGGATCGCATCCTAGGCCTCTGAACCCCAGAGGGCGAACCGCGACGATGGCCGACTACTCATACCAATCGCTGGCCAACATGGGACCACAAGGGAGATGGCGGCGTGTGCTGTTGATTGCCATAATACCCATGGCATTGGCTTTGATTTACTTCAGCTCTCCGTCATACGTGCCGAGCAGTCTTCGGGCACAGTACGTGTCGCGATCCTTGATCATTTGCAACAACTGACGACGAGGCGCAGATTCCCGCATACGCAAAACGTTTCCCTCCCCAAAGACGACGTCTCCATGGCGACGATAATAAAAGCACTCTACGGCCCGATATTACATCCGATCGATGCCGCCAACTTTACCGACGAGGACGGAGATATATACAGACTAGCAGGGGAACCAAAGTTCAAGAGCAAGTTGGGCAAGAAGGTGCTCATACTGGATATCGACAGTCGGCCGTTGACGGAGAAGGGCCAGCTCATGGACCCGCAATTGAAGTGGAAGGGCATGCGCTCGTTGAGTGCGGGCATGCTTGGGCATTACATGTTTGGTACGTTTTCGACCATACAGGAGGAGACATCCAGGGCCGTTCGGCACGTGGAGTGGACAGCGAGCGACTCGGCTAACTTCTGACAGCGCAAATACACGGCTACGATTACAAGTTCATCCGCGCACCCGATTACGCCGACCGGTGGGGCACTTGGGTCAAGGTTCCCATGATGAAGGAGGCGCTCAAGACCCACGAGTACATCGTCTTCATGGACTCCGATGTCATGTTCCACTACCCACATCTGCCTCTCGAATGGCTGCTCAACTACTGGAACATGACCGACGATACTCTCGCCATGATGTCCATTGACCCGAACGAGCCGCAAAACTACGATGCGAAGGGCAACCGATACTTGAACACAGGTTTCGTGATCGCACGACAGAGCAAGAGGACACAAGAGATGTACAAGGCTTGGGCGGAATGTCCTTCTGAGACCAAGTACAAGGGCTGCGCGCACTGGAAGACCGACTGGGCACACGAACAAGCTGCTTTCGGAAATTACCTGCGCTACGACTATGACCGGCCGGACGACATTCGCGTTCTCCCCTGCGTCGAAGCCAACGGTGCACCCGAGGCTGCGAACCGAGGCGGCTGCAAGGGCGTCTTTGTACGACATTTCTGGGTTGACAAGGGCCTGGTGGCTAAGAACCTGGCGGACAGCGTCATGCAGTACTTCCTACCACGATTGCACGAGGCGTACCTGGGCTCAGCGAGCGAGCACATTGTCGACGCAAAGGGCTTCAAGCTCGAGGGCGCGGAGCTCATCGAGATGACCGAAGAAGAGAAGGCAGCGGCCAAGAAAGGACAGGGCAAAAACCAGAAAGATGAAGGGTGGTAGGACGACTCTGAACTTCGCAACGGCCTTTGACCCTCACCTCGCGCTCGCGCATTCCATTTTAGTTCACCAATCTTGCGCCATCTACCGCATGACCTTTATATAACCACCATATACGCCGCTGCTATTCCATGGCAGTACTGTTCTGTCGGCGTCTACAGGCGTCCCATGTCTTATCGTTACGTCTTTGCACAGCGATCTTTCAAGCATGTTACATCATTATATTAGACTTGGGTGGGACGGGCATCAAAGACGGCTTTCCTTGATCATGTATGAGAATTGTTAGGCAAGAATAGCCACTTGGAATACCACCTCTTTTCACGTTGTCGATTGCGTTGAGCAAATACGTTGATGATGCACAGGTACGTCAACGTCTTTTGTTTACTGATCTGTATCGCAGATGTCGTGTGCCGACCGGGTGCCTCCTTCCTCCTCGGTGCGATGACGCGCCCAATAACCCCGCGAACATCCATGGATGACGACGACCGACCGATGCCCATGAGCGTCATGAACGCCTGGCAAGAACTACCAGCCTCGCGCAATACGCCACTGCACGCGCCTTCTGCTATCGCGATGCAGTGTCGCAAACGATGTGCAGTCGCATTGGTGCACTGCCCCTCCCCCGCTCTTGTGCGACGCCAACGATAACGACTATATTGCGGCGTGGTACTTCGAGTGGAACGACTGGTTCGGGTTTAGATGTACAAATCTGCTCTGCAGCAGCCGACGTGAGGGGCGACGACATGGATGCATTCCATCTAGTCACGCTTGCCAGATCTCGTTCAGTCCGCAAGAACGGGTACTTTCCTCTGCACTTCACTTGGATGTCCCGTCGATGCAGACGACATGAAGCATTCTATCGGCAGAAGATTGTTTGCAAGAAACAAAAGTTCCGGACACCTTGACAGCGGGCATGAGCGGTCTGCTACCAGCTCCTCTCGTTCGGAGTCTGAATCATTGATCCCTCTTACAACCAAACCCGAGCCTCAAGCGATACCACAGAGCCCGTTACCCCATATTCTCGACCAGCCGGTTCAGAATCTATCGCATTCGACGACCATAATCTCACCACAGTTTCAAGGACCACGCATTGAGAAACCAGATCTCTGGCTCCTGGCCCTTGAACGCTCCGAGCTTAGTAATGAGCAGTCGTAGGTGCTCCTCGGTCCGCCTACCGGAACTGAGACCGCGCCATGGTCTCCAGTCCAGTTCGTGCAGGAAGTCAAAGATGTCACTCGCGACCGGTACGTTGAGTGCGAAAAGAGCGGATGGTTCGCCAAAGCTGGAGGATGCAAAGCCGTCATCAAACAACGGGCCGAGACGGTACTCATCGCCGTATTCGAGCTCAAAGATTTCGTTAGCGAAGGACTAAAGTACGATGTCACTGGATACGGTGCGACAGCATGATCTATCATCACCTTCGGCCTATGGGTAAGAACTGGTACTGCAATTGACTGCTCGTGATATTAAAAATGGACATTAGCTTGTGCAGAACGATCTCGACAGAACACAATCCATATTCGAAGCTTCCGCTTTCCTGGCGGATCTCCTTGCACGCTACGCTAGTATCTTCCTGTCCAGCAAAACCAGCCAGCAATCCTTTCCAGAAACTGAATAGCAATGTCTATATGGCCGCTCTTATTGTTGACCCACGCCACCAATCTGCTGAAACACGAACCATTCCAAGTTCTTCATACCTCCACCACCTTTCTTCTGGTATTCAGGTTAAATTCTGAGCTTGACCATCTTGTGAATGGCGCCATGCATCGGGTCACTGGACCTGATCTCCGCGCTTGATTCATTCTCGAGCTTCAAAAGCTTTGGCTGCAGCACAACAGTTGCTTTGTTTGGCAGGTCAAGTAGTGCTCGTCGGTACTCATCGCTGTCACTGTTGATTTGTAAATGCAAGTGCAGAGAAGTGCTCAGTCGCACCGTCAATTCGGTGAGCCTGGGGAATCGAGTCTGCCAATACTGCCCTCCTGCCTGCTGTGGCGCGTTGGGAGTAGCAGCTTTGTGGACAGGTCGGGGACGGAGAAGCACCAGCCAATCGTTCTCAAACGACGGCTCCAGGCACTGTGCCGCATCGTCAATGCGATTGTACAACTCCAGCTGTATCACCAGTTTGCGAACGTGACTACCGAACACAAACGGAGGGAAACGCCACTTGTCGTCGGCGCCCGGGGTAACGTGCCCCCAAGACACGCCAGAGCGCCTAATGACAAAGGTGTTGTCGCTGTAGTACACTTGTGCGACAAGGGCATGCATGCGTTTGTTGACGAGTAGCAAAGTTGGTAGGTTCAAACCTTCCTCGATGGCTTTGTGGTTCCTTGCCATGATGAACTTGTTGGTGCTGAGGGCGTACGTGAGGATTTGGACCTTGAGCTCATCGGGTAGGGCGTCGAAGCCGATGCGAGTGCCGCCGGAGGGTATGTTCTGAGTCATTGTTAGCTTTGGAAGAGGGAGATAAACAGATGAGGTAGCCGTGAGGTTCGGCTTCTGGTGTGTTGTAGCAGAGAGAGAAGGAGCTGGCGATATGAGTTGTTGACGTGCCAACTAGTGCGTGCGTCATTAACGCGCGCGCGACAGGTGAGAGCAAAAAGCTGCGGTGACCAGCACCTAGGCAGCAACCTCTGCGTGTGCTTCACATGCTCAGCTCGTAAGATAACAGCACCATTGATAAGAAAAGCGGTGTCAGAGCGGGATGAGTGTGGCCGTAGACTTTGTTCACCTCTCTTTTTGCCTGTTCATATCACCCCAAACTTGGCCTTAGTACGAACTAGAGGGATTAGCATGCTATTCACCACCCTTGAAGCGCCAGATATGTCTCGTAAAATAACAATGTTACCTTCTGCTCAGCACATGTGGCTACTTAAGACCTCATGCGTCTTCGTTGTCGTTGCCAGCAGCTTCCAGTGTTCAATGATATCGGCGTGCTTATCGCAATAGGCACTCGCAATGTCATCGTGGTATTCTAGCGTCAAGTCAAGTTCCACCTCCTTTGCCTTAAACAACGTCTTTGTGTCAGCTAAGCACGCTCTCGTTTCCTCTATCAATTCAGGCGACATACAACAGTCTTCATCGCCTTCTGTTAGATTGTTCTCATCAAAGAAGTGGAAGCTAAGCTTCAGAGTATGCAGGTTCGTAAATCCACGTTGCCAGGTATTGTCGTGGGGTGCCGTCATGAGCCATACCGGTCTCACGATTGGTGAAGGCAGGCCCAGTGCGTTCGACTCCAACAAGGGACGTGCTGCCTGAAGCATGAAGGCCAAAGGTTGCGAATTGCACAGTAGAATACGTTCCAATTGTGAAACATCCATGATGGAAGCTTTGACGGTAACGCGGAGGTGCCGAATCATGCTTGCTATTTCTGCAGGAGGATAACGAAAGGTGACTCGTTGGGACGAAGAGGACGGTTTCTCCTCGATACAGATTTCGAAGACATTGTTGTTGTAGTATGCGGTACGAGCCAGCCGGTACAGTTCCTTATTCAGCACCTCATAGAGAGGTCCCATATGTTTGCGGAAGATGAGTGAATAGTTACTGTCTGGCACGGGCCTTTCAGGAACGTTACCAACGATAAAGCATAAGACATGAAGCTTTAGCTCCTCGGGAAGGAGTGACCATTGCCTAAACGATGGAGACACTGTTGCTGGTGTTATTTGGTCTTCATCTTGCTGTGTCATTGTCGGCATATGGGAGTTTTGAATCTGGTTGTAAATCAAGGTCAATGAGCATATCTTATACCATAACACGAAGTTTGCTCATGTATGTCAGCAGAGCACATATCCTACCAGAATAGCATCTTCTGATAATCCCAGGTATCGCTCAAACTTCATGCTCAATGTCAGCGACCCTTGGCACCCTGTGTAGCCGCAAGCCACAGAAGCTGGCGACAAGCTCGATCTATGCCTGGTCAGTGCACGTTACGAGACGTAGGCTGACTGCTGTCTTACACATTGCTGGATTGTCTCCACGTCCTCCTTACTGACGCCGATGCGCCTTGTCCCGCGCAAATGCCAGGCTGTCTCTCTCGGCAGATTTTGTATCATGATGCCGCTGAGTACGGTCAGCTCGGTCTCGACGTCGTTGAGGATGCTGTGATCGGATAGATAGAGGCCGTAGGTGATTTGCTTGCTCGTCCAATCTATACTGCATTAGCTCAGGGTCAGGAAGCGGCCAGGGGCTACATGCCGAAATCCTTTTGTGATGCCAACACGTTGTCGATGCCCTCCTGGTTGTGCTGGTACAAGCGACCTTGCCATGCTGCACCACGTTTTGAGTTGGCTTCGTCACACTGCCATCCCTCTCTGCTTGTTGTCAGCTTCCGCAATCGCCTGCTGACGACGCACGACTTCATACCTAGAGAATGTATAATCCTTGTCCTCTGGCCTCGTGATGGCATCGATGTCAAAGATGGCTTCCAACGGCTTGCACACGCCCACAATGACGATGAGCTTGAAGAGTGTCTCTCGTATCCTCCGCATCAACGCCTGCCGCTGTTCGGGTGTTTGGCATTCGGGTCGCTTGATGAGCTCCTTGTAGAGCAGAGGCGCGAAGCCCGGCTGCCCGCCGCCTACCATCGCCGCGAGCTACAATGGCTTAGTCGTTGCTCTCATCTGTGTATGCAAGACATGCCATACCAGAAGAACATACCACTTGTCATCTCCAAGTGACTGCGATGGAAACTTCTCCTCTATAGCCTTGAACAAGGCAAGAGCTTCGTCATCGGTTGGGTCGCGGGGTATCGGGATAGTACTGGTTGACATGATGTTGATTGTGCGCTCAGGGAGGAAGTCGAAGCAGCAGAAGGATATTGCGCCTTGCGGGATGTTTGCTGACTGTCGTCATTGGGTGTTCCGATAGTCGGGACGGACAAGTAGGACCGATCGCGACTGCGACGCGTCTTCGGAGGGGCGCGTCGCGCTAAAGCGGGGTAGACCTCCACCCATCACCACGCCCCATGGAGAAAGGCGTCTTTCCCCGGAGGGCAGCTTGTTCTCTCGAACCACCCACATACACGCGAAAACAAGGCTGGAATATGTGAAAACCAGAGTGGGTGGTATGCTAATTTTGGATCAAACATGGATACAAGCGCTTCGTGCTATCACCTTCTCAACAACAAGCCCAAGACTGTCATCATCACAGGCGGCGCAAACGGCATCGGCGCCAAAACAGCCCGTACCTATCATGGCCATGGCTGCAATGTCATCATAGCTGATCTTCCTTCCTCCAGTGACGCTGCCAATGCCCTCATCGCATCTCTCACAGAGCCATCACGGGCCCGGTATCACCCCACCAATGTCACTAGTTGGCACGATATACAAGCTCTCTTTCGAGAGACGAAAAAGACGTTCGGTCAAATCGATATCGTCGTTGCGAATGCAGGGACGATGGAGAGTAAGGGGTTCTTTGACTTCGAAGAGAACGAACATGGGGAATTGATGGAGGCGACTGAAGCTGGTAGGGTCATCGACATTAATCTGAAGGGCACTATGAACAGTGAGCTGCGTTGACTCACTAGTACTCTCCTGGTCTATCTCTGACATCATGTAGCTGTCAGGATGGCCATGTACTCCATGAAGTCAAACCCACCGGACTTGGACGGTGTACGAGGCTCTATTGTACTCATCGCCTCAACGTCCGGATACTTTGGCGGGACTGGAGTAGTTTCATACATTTCTTCTAAGCATGGCGTAGTGGGCTTATCACGAGCATCACAGTCCGTTGCCCGACAGCTAGGCGTCCGAGTCAATGTCGTTGCACCCTTCTTTACCCCTACGCATATTACCTCGGGTTACTCAGAGAAGTGGAAAGAGAGTGGTCTACCTGCGAACACAACCGAGGACGTCGCTAATGCCATCGTGTCTACAAGCGTGGATCCTGCAAGACAGGGTCATAGTATGATGGTGAGTTAAGATGACTCGACATGTAGCGAAGAAGTAGTGCTGATCCAGTCACAGGTTGCAGGCAGCTTGGTCAGAGAGATCGAAGAGCCAAGAACTACATCAACGAAAGATTGGTTAGGAAAAGAGATTTCTGACATTATGGCGAGAGGCGGCAAGTTTTTCAATGATCTGGGCGGTTACACACTGCCCCAGGCACGATCTTGAGAGCTCTTGCGGGCTTGTTCCACAAGCCAGTGTCCTACTTGATTGTCATTCGTAAAACGTGAGTGTACTTGAACAACTCGCAAGCCGGCTCATAAGGCCACACCGCGTCTTCGTCACCTTTCAGTATGGAGCCATCTTTGTTCCTATAGCAGCTATACCTCTCCGAAATATCCTCGGTTGTTCTTCCCTCGTTTAGGCCGATCTTGCTCAGTAGTCTGTTTGCGAATTCACCTAGTATGCTTGCTCGACCCGACAAATCTCTCCAGCTATCTCTGTAGCCTACGTTATCAGCATATGCGCAAGATACTGAGATGGTCTTGAAAGGGAATACGATAGACTCCATATTCTTTAAGACCACTGCGACATGCGGTACTAGAGGCTCGCTGGACCGACGTGTTAGGAGTGTAGGCTCCGTCAAGATGACTTTCATCCTTGCGGCCGTAAGTCTGATATCGATATCGACGAGCTTCTTGAACCCAAGCCTCCCCATCGCTAGCTGGTAGAAATCGTATACCATTCTCAGTCATGTGTATGCGCACGCATAGTCGCGGAATTAGCGCGTTTATCCACCCCGGAGGGTATGGTATGCCACCACGAGGAGAGGTCGTTATCAGGATCTTATTCTGTTTCAACAACACGTCGTAAACCAGATACTTCAGTTTTGGAATGGCCATCAAGAGTGGCAAGACTTGTTTCGCGAAATCGAAGGTATGAAGCTGGTGTCCCTCGAAATCCGGGCGAACAAAGAACTTGTTGTAAGGTAAATATTCGGACAGTACCATCAACTTGATCTCGTCCGGTAGAGCGAGGAGAGGGGGGCGTGAAGTGGTAGTTTTGGGCATTGCCTCGACCGGTAATGTGACGAGACTGGAGCACCGAATCTGCTGGGCTTTGATGTCTGCTTGCTCCATAGTATCGTCGTTTTGCTTATCCTTGTTCAGGAACTTGAGATTAGAGTTGATAGTTGGGTTGGTCATTTGTGAAGAAAACAAGCAACGCAATGGTGACCAGTCTCATACTAAGGGTGGTTGAGGAGCGTAAGAGTTGCAGTAATACTGAGGAGTACATTGACGGATACATTTGGCTGGTCGTAACTGCACGGTTGTTTAGGCTCCCGTATTGGCAACTACGTACTGGCTTATAGCACCTAAACAAGGACTAAGAAGGCACTGAGGCAGACGTTCATCCAAAGCGGTCCTAGCGTGGGAGTGAATGCGATGCGCGGCCAATACCGCTAGACCGTTGCTGCGAATGTCCATCACCCGTGAGGGTGCGATAATTTTACGGACGTGTGGTCGCCTTTGATGGTATCGGTTATGTCGCGGGATTTGCGCGTTGAATGACCGATGCTATTGGGTGATGTGTAGGAGTAATAGACTTCACGAGGCGATCACAGGGTTCATTTTCGTCTTAGTAATCCTCGAGCGAGCTTTGGCCCGGTGACGTTTTCTACGACCCTCGGCAACACCACCTTCTACAATCTGTCCAAAGACCAATTGAAGCCTCACGACAGACTCTCTGCACCATGGCGTCCTCAAGACTAGTTGCTCGCTCGTCGCGCGCTCTCTTCTCCCTCCCGCGCACCCAATGCCGCACATTCAGCATCTCCACCATCCGTAGCAATGAGTTTGAAGCTCTCAACAAGCGCACAAACGACACCTCCGAGACGTACCGCAAATACCAGATCGAGAGACCTCTGAACCCTCACCTGACCAACACCACATCTACCATTGCCAATGAGATGCCTTCGATTGGCAATGACGCAGCCCCGCCCGAGCTGATCACCAACGCCGACGCCAAATTCACACCCAAGGATTCTGTGCCCGAGAACACTGAGCGCATGACAGGCGGTACACAGGGCAGCAAGGACCAGGACGTCAGCGGAGCGAACAGCGAACTGGGTGTTGGCGAGATGGAGGGCGCCAAGTTCAAGGTCGAACCTATCCGCAGGACTGGCGAGGACGCGAACACCATGCGTGCGAGGTTATTATGTCCGTTCATACACTGCCCGTTCCATATTCCCCATGAATTACACGATTTGGTGACCGCGACGAAACATGACTAACGCACAATCAGATCAGAGCCGCAAGAGGGGAACCCTAGAAAGTGATCTCCTCCTCAGCACCTTCGCCGATGCCCACCTAAGCACCATGTCTCCCTCCCTGATGCAGCAATACGACACCTTCCTCGACGAGAACGACTGGGATATCTACTACTGGGCGACTCAAGAACCCACACCTACGTCTCACGAGACAGCTGAGGGTGGTGGCGCTGCTATGTCCAACCCCAATGCACAGGGCATGGACGCGACGGCACAGACGAAGCTGCCCGAGAAGGACGAGCGCAAGAGACAACCTGGAGAGGGCGAGTGGGCGCAGACTGTGGGCACTTTCAAGCCCGCGTACAGGCCTGTGCCTAGCAGGTGGAAGGGCAGCGAGATCCTCAGCCTGCTCCGGAAGCACGTCAACGAGCGCAAAGCGGGAGGCGTCATCGAAGGCGAAGGCACCACAAAACAGGAAGGAAAGGGTCTCGGCATGATGCCTGAGATCAAGAACTTCGACCAGTAAAGCAGAAATCGCGCCTTTGTCACCATATCCTGTAGGTTTGCTGTATAAATAATGCCCACAACTGCCCCGATGCTTTCTCTCCTGCACGTCTTCAGTCTGTTTCACTCACAGACCATTTGCGCACTTCTTCCAGGATCCTTGTCACAGTCGTGCCACTTTCAATATGAACAAACTCACCCAGACAAAAACACCATTCCCAAAACCTTTGCCCAACACTACGAGCCTAGCAAGGCACTCATAAGCTACTTGTTCCGGAACTCGTTCCTCCGCCCGCTCCCACGTGTTCCGCGGCATCCTAGGCTAGATTTCCTCCGGGGCTTTTGTCATTACCCCGGCCAACTTCCCCACACGGCAAAGCTCGCTTCGGCAGTCCATATGTTTCGAAACTGCGCTTTGTATAGTGGCACCGGGTGTTATTGGAGGAAGTACTATTGTTCATGCATTTTGTTTAGTGTTCTGGTGTCACGTTCAGATGCGTGCAGCTAACGGTGCAAATTGGAGGAGGGGATGCGTTGCCACATGTAGAGGTTTGTCCGTACTTCTAAAACGCCGTTGATCAGTAGCAGGTTACGGGATGTTCTCTGGTATATAGCTGCTGTATCCTTGGAAAGGTAAGGGGCATCTATCTCAGTATCGATCACTCTCACGATGCGGTTCACAGCCCTCCTCCTCCTCGCCAGCACGGCACTCGCAGCGCTCCCCTACAAAGGCGCAGACTGGTCCTCCCTCCTGATCGAAGAAGCGGCCGGTAAAAAGTACAAGAACGCCGCTGGTACCGTCCAGCCCCTCGAGACCATCCTAAAGAACAGCGGCGTAAACACCGTGCGCCAACGAATCTGGGTGAACCCATCCGACGGAAACTACAACCTCGACTACAACATTAAGCTCGCGAAGCGCGCCAAAGCAGCCGGCCTAGGCATCTACCTCGACTTCCACTACAGCGACAACTGGGTAAGTTCTGACTGTACGAAGTGCATGTGAAACAAATACTGACTTCGTGCCTCTACCTCTGCAGGCGGACCCAGGCAAACAAGTCGTGCCCGCAGCGTGGAAATCGCTAAACCGCGAAGCCCTCATCAAGCAAGTCTACGACTACACGAAGAACGTGCTCAACACCTTCGCTACCAACGGCATCGCCCTCAACCTCGTCAGTATTGGCAATGAAATCACACCCGGACTCCTTTTTCCCATCGGCCAGCTCTCCGGCACCGATGGACCGAAGAATGTCGCTGCCCTGCTCAAATCCGCATCCAAAGCCATCAAGGAATCGTCCATGAGCCCCAAGCCCAAGATCATGATTCATCTGGACAATGGCTGGAAATGGGATACGCAGCAGTGGTGGTACGACACCGTGTTGGGCTCGGGCGGCGGGCTATCGGCTGCAGACTACGATGTTCAGGGCGTGTCTTACTATCCGTTTTACAACAGCGCTGCTACGCTGTCTGCGCTCAGTACCAGTTTGAACAACATGGCGAAGAAGTATGGCAAGGAGGTTATGGTTGTGGAGACCAATTGGCCGAGTTACTGCCCAAACCCGTCAAATGCTTTCCCTGCGGATGTGAAGAGTATTCCGATTAGTGTGGATGGACAGACGCAGTGGATGAAAGAAGTTGCGAAGCGTGTGGCTGCTGTGCCTAATGGCAAGGGTACTGGGCTATTTTACTGGGAGCCGGCTTGGATCGCGAACCCTGGGCTGGGCAGCAGCTGTGGGTGGAATCTGATGGTTGGTGACGACGGTAAGGTCATGAGTAGCTTGGCTGTGTTCGCCAGCATATGAGCAATATCGCCGTTCTCCCGAACACTGTGGAGCCTACATCAAGATAAAAACATGCAAAGTAGGTGACCTAAAGTTAATGTAGGCTCTAGACTTATTCAGCTTTTTTTCTTGTATGAGGTGCGAAGCTGTAAATGTTGCGTACGTTAGAATTCCAAAGACACCACGTGTGGGACATTGTGACAGCCCCCACATGCACGTTCTATGACATCAGCCCACCTTTGAATCAATATGAATGGGCAATACGTAAAGTCAGAAGATGTACTGGAGACAGCAGTGACGTCGATCAGAACATACTCATGGTCAGAGCCATCTTTGATGTTTGGGTGGTTTCATTTGAGTACATAGCAGTAAAGCAGTGCAGACTCCTTTCCCTCCCGTGTCAAAAAAGCAGCCCAGTCCATTCCGAATGTGCAAAGGAAGATGTGTCAGGGTTCGTCATGGCATCATATCCTTCCGCTAAATGCCTTTTCGTAACCTCATTGCGCCCGCAGCAAAGTATCAACCTACTGCTCCTCAGAGTAGCCCTCACCACCAGCTGGCTGGGCCTCGCCCTCGCCCTGCTCGGCCTGCCTGGCCTGCTCCGCTGCTTGCTGAGCAGCGATGGCCTTGGCACCGTAGTCTTGCGACATGGGCTGGACAACGGGCTGCTCCTCCTTGGGCTCGATGATGGTAACGGAGTCGGGGAGAGTCTTGGATGGGCCGGCCTTGCCTTCGGGGTCGGAGCCGCGCATGATCTTAACCTTGATACCGAGCACACCCTGGCGGAGCAGGACGTGGCGGGTGGCGTGGTCGATGAAGTCCTTGGCAGGCTGACCGGAGTGGATCATGAAACCGTCCTAGATAACGTCAGTATGTCATTGCGAAGCGTCCAACGTGTGTGTACGTACGGTGAACTTCATGCTCTTGGCACGGGCGGCCCTGAGCTTTCCGGAAACGACGACCTCGCAACCCTTGGCGCCAGACTCCATGATGAACCTCAGCACACCGTAGCAAGCCCTTCGGACGGCCAAACCATTGAGAAGCTTGTATCGGAGGGACTCGCACTGGGCGACGGCGGAGAGACCACGGTTCTGGACCTTGGCGGCGTACAGGGAAACGGAGTTCTCGGGGAACTTGAAGCGCTTCTGGATGAGCGAGGTGAGCTCACGGATGCGGCGACCCTGCTCTCCGAGAACCTCCTGGGTGTGTGTGGCGCGGATGATGATGTCGGTGACGGTGGGGGTGACGCGGACCTCGACGCCGGAGTAGCCCTCCTCGGCCAGCTCGCGCTGGAAGAACTCGTTCAGCTCGGCGTAGAAAACACCGTCTGTGAGGGGTCATGTTAGCGACCGTTCTGTGTGCGCAATGTCCCGCGATCCTCGCATTCCACATCCTAGGCTTCGCAGGCTCTTTGCCATGCAGCAACACCAATGATCGCCATCTCCTTCTATTCTCCGTCTACTGCGTGTGGGAAGGGTATATCGTACCAGCTACGAACTTTCTCCTCTTGGAGCTGCAGGCCGTCAGTACTCATTCCCGATTGCGCGTCACAGAGGCGTCCGGATAAACTCACATGGTGGTTTGAGTGGTGGCCATTTTGTCGAACTTTGGAAGGGCGTATCTGAACTCCGGGCGTGGGTGTTCAGAAAGGTCGAGCCGTTGTTGAAGTCGTAGTTGATGGACTTGGGAATCACAATATTAAGCGAGTGGTGTGGACCGGCGCTCGGACCACCTCCATCACCGACCATGATTAGACAGCCCCTCCCTACCAAGAACAGCAGAAGTAGAGACCTTAGGAGTCTACACTGTCTTTTCTTTCACATTCATTATCAGATCAAGTGAAGAGTTTTCTCCAGTATCTCCCTCGCACGAGGAGGCGCTTTCGGGGTCTCACGATTAATGAATGTCAACGCACGTAATTCATGTAGGCCTGATGCAAAAGATAATATTCGATGCCCACGTAGAAGAGCTTACCATGCGCCAATCAACGCCAATCTCATGCACGATATATACAGTATTCCTCAACCTCCTTGCTTCCATTCCTCTCCACAGGCTAGAGATGCTCGATCGGACCCTCAGGTAGCAGAGGCTCAGCCTTCCTCTCAACACACGCCTTTAGCGGTGGGCGAATGAGGTCGTTGAACAAGAACGTGCCGTATACCAACAAAGCGAAACCTGCAACCTGGAGCCACTTGAAAGTTTCCCAGCCAAGGCCAAGCGACACAATCCAGATGAAAAGGGTGCGGCAAGTATCGATGGTCGAGCGCGAAGTGGCAGAGACGGTGCGAGTGACGGATAGACCGAAGAAGTTGAAGCCACTGTGGCGGGTCAGTGAGAGATAGAGTGAGGGAAGAGGTTGGAAGACATACCCAATGCTGATCATAATCAACACCGACGATACTGCGATAGCGCGGTAGTGCGTCATCTGGTACAATCCCTCTCTCGCGTTGAAGTATCCAGTTCCAATTGCGAAGTGTAGGATGATCATGCCAATGAGCGTAACCAAAAAGCCGAACACACCTTCCCAGCCGACAACCTTGATCGGCTCCATGGCGTACTTTTCCATAATCCTCTCTTCGAGCACGAACTGCGTCGCGGTGAAGATCTGCGCACCAGCAATGAGCAGTACACCGATGATGGTCATGGCAGCTTGAGTAGTAGCAGCTTGCGCACCAACGGAGCCAGTGGTATCATCGTGAATGGATTGGTGCCCGGGCGATGCTTTGTCGTCTTTGGTGATGGCGCCTGCGAGTCCAACAACCGCTACACCAGTAACGACAACAAAGAGCGAAAACCACTTGTACAGTCCCAGATGACGCTTGAGGAACCAGACGCTGAACAGACCGACGAAAAGCACCAGAGCACCTCTAGTCATCTGGTAGATACTGGCTGCGACGAACAGCAGACCAACGTTCATGAGCGTTGTTCCGGCAATGTCGCAGCATGCTGGGAGCGCCAACAAGAAGATGCTTCGTCCCTCGAGTGGTATCCTGCCCTCATCATCGGGATGCGCAGGCTTCAGCGGGTTGGCAACAGCGCCGGTCTCGCTATCATCTGAACCTGGTGTAGCAGCGCCATCGTTGTCCGGGATGGCCTCGTAGCCTGCCTTCGCGCTCGCGTACCGCTGGTAGAGGGTGAATAGGCCGATGACGAGCCAGCAGCCCATTTCACCCACAAACATCTGTAGGGTCTGAAGGACGGGCTGTTCGAAGTGCTGGCGGTATTTCGGCGAGGGAGAGTCGCAGTTGTCGACGCATTGCATGTCCTGGTCGCGCGCGGTCAGTACCAGACTTCGAGTCGGCTGCATGGGAAGGTTTACATACTTGGTACTTGGTTAACAGTGTATTACACACACCTGTCAGCAGCATCATGGCCACCAGGAATGGCACTGCAGCTTTGACCGCCATGGTAGTGATGAGTCGAGCTCCCGGAGTTCAGCGACGCTTATCGGACGCGGTGTCGCAAGTGATGGGCTATGGACAAAGAAGTGTCCAGTGTCCAGATGAACCTCAGAAGAGATGAAGGCAGAACAGAGTATAGATAGATGCAGCGACAGCAAGGTACTAGGCAGCTCTGAGCTGCGACCCGTGATGACTGTCGAGTGAGGCGCGTGAGGCTATGTGACGGGTGATGTAGCAGCTGCCTCGGCGATAAGAGATGGCGCTAACGCTGGCCGCGTTCTCGACGATCCCTGGACGGAAACACCCTTGCAGCTGCGTCTTGTGCTGCAACTCGCCTTCCTTCTTGCATCCACCTCATTCATGGAAACCATCGTACACTATGGAGCCTGAATCAAGATGAAAATATGCAAAGTAGCTGACCTAACGGCAAAGGAGGCTCCAGACCTGTTCGAGTCCGCGTTGATCCTCCCAACCTGTCTCACACTGGTTTGGATGATGGTGACGCGTGACCATGTCGGTCACGCCCGTGCTGGAGGAGCTTTCCCGCTATCGGATCAATGCGCGGCTCGCGTGTGTTCCTTTTTGAAGACGCAAACATGGATTCAAAGGGTATCTAGATCTATCCAAAGGCACGCGTTTGTTGCAAAAATGATAAAGTCGACGTGTTCAATCCAAAAGAAAGACACTTTTTGAGCAGCCTCAACTTCATGCCCACCCTACAAGAACCACCTGAACTCTGGGTTCTTAGGTCCATCCCTGAGCTTCTCAGTCGATACATCCCTAGCAGTGTGGTTGACGCCCTGCTTCGCGTTCCTCCTCTTGTTGTCTACGACCATATAAGCACCTAGCAGCGCGGCACACACACATCCAGTCGCGCCAAAAGCCGCAGTGGTGGCCAGCGCGGGGATGTACTCGGGCGCATCCTGCGGCCTGAAGATGTTGGAGCTGACCACACCCATCAAGTTCGCCAGCGGCACACCAACGGAAGTAAGGGTAACACGTCGGTTCTCGTCGGCAACGTTGTTGTTGTACCATGTTGAGAGGAGGACAGAAGGTGCGGATGTTCCCCAAGTCATCATGAAGCAGGCGAAGTATGCGACGGTAAGGGAGTGCTCCACGTCGATGGTGGCGTAGATGATGAAGCCGATGAACGTCAGCAAGAAGCCGAGGGCGATGAAAGGGAAGCGGAGACGTGTGTGGTCGGAGGCAAAGGCCAGGATGAGAAGCACGACAGCTCCGACAATGTTGGGCGCAACGGTGTAGAGGTTCGTCTTGATCTTGTCGTAGCCAAGTCGCGCTACAATCTGGGGCAGGAACAACGATACAGACTGTAGCGGTACACCCAGGCAGACCTCAATAGCGAGGAAACCGTAGGTCGAGGTCTCCTTGAAGATCCCAAGCGCGTCTTTCAGATCAAACTTCTGGTCAACAACCGATGACGAGTCAATCTGGATACGGGTAAACGCAAGCTGCTTTTCCGATTCGTTGAGGAATTTGGCTTCAAATGCGTTCTTGGGGAGGTACCAATAGGCGAAGAATGAGAAGCAGACTGTAAGCGCTCCCTCAATGATGAACAGATAGCGCCACGAGTCGAGCTTCGATTCGATCTGGAATACGCCAAAGGCGAGAAGGCCTGAGAATGCGTTCGCGATGTTGGAGGCAGCGTAGAACAGTGCGAGTCGCCTTGCAAGCTCGCCTCGGCGGTAGAAGGTAGTCAAGTAGTAGATGACAAGCGGGAAGAAGGCGGACTCAGCCATACCTGTATACTGTCAGTCATGTAACCTTTCGAGGTCTCAATCCATGTACTCACCCAAGAACCATCTCAAAGCCATCATTCCACTCCAGTTCTGCACACTTGAAGCAAGCAGCGTTGCGCTACCGAAACAAAACATCATGATCGGCAGCACGCGATGCGGTCCGTACTTCTTTCCCAGCATACCAATCGGCGGCGCAAAGATAACGTACGGTACGTAGAAGATACTCAGCATGATGTTGTACTGGTTTCCAACAAAGCCAAGGTCCTTGTCCATGTTGTCCGTCTTTGCGTTGCCCAAGTTACCCTTGTCGAGCGCGTTGAAGAGGTACATGACTGCCAACATGGGCAGTATCCGTAGGTCGAACTTCCATGTCAAAGCCTTCTCGTGCTCGTATGTGGGTAGGTGTTCGGTCGTGCCTTCGACTGGGACGGGCGCGTTGGCATCTTTGGAGGAGGAGAGGGATGCCGTAACTTCAAGGCCGTCCTTCGCGAGTTCTGGGTCTTTGTTCGTCGACATCCTGACAGGCCGAGAGTCGAGGAAGTGTTGAGATATCCTTGATGCTTGACCAAGTCCTAGCTTGGAGCGACGCGACCGAGCTGCGCTTCTTAGGCTGTCGTGAAGGAAGGTGCAATGCGACTCAATGTCGAACGAACCAACTGCGTCCACAGGCTTAAGTACGATCACCGCAAGCTAGCTTCTCCGATTATAAAATCTGCAAGAAATGCACCCATCCCGTGGAGTTACATGCAGCCTGAGGCCAAGCGCTGACGCAGCCGTTTATCCAGGCGTCGCACGGTGGTAGCGAGTGCAAGGTAACATTTCTCCGCTGTCTATCTCACGTCGCGCATGGTCCTCTTGATAAACTCCCTGCTCTTTCTGACCAATACCCATTATTTCGCCTCGTGTCGGGGCATACGCCCGGGGTTTGAGTGGTTCGGCAGCGATGCCTGTATGGAGGGATCGGCATGGAGGAGTGGAGGGGTTCATCCGAGATACCAGATACGGCATGATAAGAAAAGGCCCGTCACCCTGCGGTATCGGAAGGATCCGCGAACACTGCAACTGACATCAAACCTGCGATAATATATCGGTGTGCCTCTCGTATTCAGCTTTGCCGTACATGTACGATTATCGCGACGTCGGGTAATCATTTCGTTGTCCTGTCGTCTGCTGCTAGCGGTGGTGGAGTGGAATTTGGGGTTGTTTCCCGCAATTAGTTATGGTCTGTCCTCTCCACTTCTATTTGAGTACAAGCGGCTATGTTTCCCGTATCATGGTTGATGGCATAGCGTACTTGGAAGTTACTTGCAACCTCAATAATCTTGTAAGATGTAGGACTTATCCGGTGCGCGCATGTTTCTTTACACCTGGCTGCCGCAAACCTACCAGATTTCGAGGTGTGCAATCTTCGCAAACGGCAAAGACAACAAGACTCAGATCAGCCTAATAGTGCTAGGTTTGTACCGAAAATACGTATCTGCTTCTTCACGAAAGAAGAAATGCCCAAGACCAATTCTTTCAAAAGTAGGGATATCTTCCTCGCCAGGACATCCATTACTAGCAACATTACGTTCGACCGAGCGAAGACAAAGGAAGGTGGTTCTTGATCTTGAGTCTTCGCCGAAGTTTTTGGGGGTGGTTAGAGCTAGAGTTAACTCAAAGAGCTCCACTTGCATCGCCTCCTTAATCGTGATATCAGTATACAACGACATTCTTCTCTCGGTCCGCCATGCCCATATTTGAGATGGAGGAGTGTATTGCATACTCGTGCCATCATCTTGTAATACCTTGCTCAGAAGAACCTTGGGAGGCGTCTCGTCTGTGATTTCAAGGTGAGCTTTCACGCGTCTGCCAGAGATGATTAGGTATCCTGCGCGAACTTCTCCAGTCGGATCCAGACCCTTTGGTGTAACAGTGATTGAAGTGACGTGGACCATGCTCTTGTTGGTGATTCCAAAGTCATGTACCCACTTTACGCTTCCTGTCTGTGAAATCCACGACCAGCTAGGCGATTGGTGCGCGCGAGCTTTTGGACCGTCAGTTTTGTGGAACCATTGCAGATCATCCACGATAGTGTCTTCCCACAAGCCAGCAACATAAGAACCGCTTCGCATGAGTTGCATTTGCTTAGCAATCCCCTGCAGTGCGGGTAAAGTATCAGTCTGAAACGTGAGGTTGAGCGTTGAGTAATAGCTCACGATTTCGTACCACTTTTTGGCCATCAAACCGACTGTCTGGCTTGATGTAGGCGTCTGTGGAAATTCCATCGAAAGAAACCCAGTGAGTCTACTTTTGCTAAGACCATACCATGATTGCGAGCTGCTCACGCCACATTCGCACGACCCTTTTCCGATGCACTCCCAAAACAGCTCTTCTTCGGCGAAGTGTACTACTCTTGGAGACAGCAGACGCTCCTGGAATGCCCAAGCCCGAGTGAGTAGTGGAAGCTTTGCGTCGCCGAATGTTCGATGCTGCAGTGACCTTTGACTATGCAGAGCAAAGGCTTCCATGCCCTTGTGGCGTATCTTACGTCTCGCATCAGTCGTATTAGTATCAGGATCCGTATAGAAGCCGCCATTGCAGTTAGCGGACTTCGTTGCGGCAAGCGTGACGAAACTGTTCGAATAGATGGAAGCCATCTTGCTGCCTTCATGTCGCCAGTCATCGAGATCGTCTTGCAATATGCACAATGAATCTATCCACAGATATTCCAGCCCAAGACGCCAGGTGAGATCGACAGCATCCTTGAAGGTACGAGGCAAGGAATGCCATTCGATGTTGTCGTGAAACTGCAGTTCCGTCTTGCGGGTCGTCTGCAAAGCGACCGAACCTCCCCAGCAGTGACTGAGACAGACATAACAACCTCGCTCGTTCGAAGACGTCGTGTACAGTTGAAGTTTCTGGTGTTTACTTATGTGTGGTAGCCGCGTTGGAAGCGGTTTTGGAGTCGATGCGTGGCCACAGGTCATGTTGGCATGATTAGTACTACAACTCTCCAGCCAGTTCGTTATTTGATCCGCGGACAATGTTGCATTAGAGTTCGCGGGCTCTAGTCGTCTCGGTCTTATAGACGGCCACGGGCAGGTACTGTCTGTTATGTTTAGTAACGATTGACCTGCTTTCGAAATATAACGACTTACTTTCGAAGATGAAAAGATCAATCTCTTCCGTTGTATCCTCGTGACTGGAACTGTCAAATCGAAGTTTGAGCGTACCATCTCCTTCAACAAAGAGATGAACATTGTCGTCCGTTGTGAGGTTCAGTTCGTACTCTCGCAGGACACAAGCCACTAGTGAACATGATTGGCAGCCCGAGCGTGAAGCGGCATTCATTGCGTGAAAGCTCATATCCAGGCCATTGCTTGTCACGACCAGGTTTTTACACACAGTGCATTCGTGCAATACGATTTTTGGGACGCTTGCAGGAAGCACAGCAGTGGCGGAGTCCACGACGGGGGTCCAAGCGGATGCGATGGTTGTTGCCGCTTGGGGGAGGGCCCAAATCGACCGACGAGTGTTTTTCGGCTTGAGGCCCATCTTGTCAGCCTGAATAGGAACGGCTTCGAGTTCTCTTGGATTGTATGAGGCTGGCTTGTTGGTATTCCTTCACCACATTGTCAGGATGGCGGGGTTAGTCGCCCCCAACATCTCAGCCGCACAGTCTACGTCTATCAGATCGCACGTGACATTTGGCTCTGATGTTCCAAAGTTATTCTTCCTGTCAATCACTCGCAGGTGTCTTGGTATGGAAAAACGTTATACCGTGGTCAACAATCTTCAATTCAATCTTCCACAGAATCGGGGTATGATGGCTGGGCAAATCACTAACCAAGACTTGTTGCTTCATATCAATTCCGCTGCGCCGCCTTGGCTGTTGAATTCGGAATGGGGTTATGCGGGCGGTTATCAGAGCAGGGTAGCACGATACGTTATCGGAGGACCCACAACCAAGCCTCTTCCAACATGAGCGCACGACAGCTTCCTGGATGCGGCAGCTTCACACGGGCCGTGTCTTGTTTGTAGATCATCCTGATAGCGCAAGAACGTCTGTCGTTAGATCACTGATTGGGTGAAGACTTTCCAAGGGTTCGCACGGTGAGTGTACCAGAATATCGTCATCTTCATCGCGCGAGCTATGAGTACATTGCAGGCTCTTGGTTCAAGCGGACATATTGTCTTCCAAGTCGTCTATATTCGAATAAGGAAATGTGTCTGCTGAAGCTCCGGAATACGTCTCGTGCATGATGACTGCATAAGACGCAACGACAGATCTGAGGAGAACAGAGAAGAAACGCAATTGGAATGGTACATCCAACCATAATATACAACGCCAGTGGGTATCCTGTAAACAAAGTGAGGCTTTTACTCGTGAACGCCTCTACCGAGTGCAGATGAGAAACTTTATACATAAGGAAAAGAGAGACCAGACATTGTTGTCTTACGGGTTATGGGCTACTTCCTTTCCCTTCGAGGAGCGAGGGTGCAGGAAGTTAAGCCCGCCCTTGGCGACACCAGCGACATTGAAATGCAGAGGCTCCTTGGGTCCCTTCTCCCTGACCGGCATCTTACGCTTGGAGCGACCCGAGACGTACATTGGCTGCTGCGCATGACCGTTGCCATTGACGTTGGGCATGCTCTGCTTCGACCGCAGCTTGGGCTTCTTGTCGCGATGCTCATCATCTGTGGTTTCCGTGTCGAAGCTGCGAAGGCTACTGCGCTCGGAGGAGAAACGCGGATGACTGGAATGGCTTGACGACTGGGTTGGCGCACGCTGCAGAGGGCTCAGAGGGCTCAGCCTAGAAGAACGGACCGATGATGCTGTCTGAGCGCGCTCGATCGGACTCAGCATGGCAGCGGAGTTGGCGAGGACGTCCAGCCCCGAAGGCGCCCTAGTCGCCATCGAGTGAGTTCGAGATGAATAAGTAGGAGGAGGATCCTGGTAGTCGTACATAATCTCAGAGTCCAAGCTCTTGTATTTGGCAGTGCCGTCCAGCTCCTCGTCGTGTTCCCAACAGGTCTCGTCGATGCCGGTCACGGGAGGCAAGAATCGAATTTCGTTCCAGGTGACATCTTCATACTGCAGGGTGATGTACAGGAGATCTCCTTGCATTTTGTCATGCGCGATGCAGTGGTCCTCCAGGAAAGGATAATCCCATACACCACGGTGAACGAGATCAGGTGGTAAGAGCGTCAGCGCCATGCGGCCATAGGGCTCGTCGGCTGGGCGATGACCGGTCATTGGCATCCACGGTCTGCCACGGAACACGCCCTTGAAGGCAGTTTCGATGCCATTCGCGAAACAGGAGCTATCCGGACTGGGGAATTCGAGGGTTTGCAGCAGCTTGCGCGAAGCACATCGTCGGTAGCCGTTGCTGTCCGGGTCGTACGCGAACCTCTGCGATTTGCGTGGGACGAAGACGACACGTACGCTCCACGAAAGGGGGTACTTCTTATCAGTTCGAATCGGAAGTTGACCAAGGGTGTGATTTGACTGCATCAACAGTGGCATTGGCGGCGCAGGCGAGGCCTTTGGTGTTGACAGACGCGTTTTTGGCGTCGAGGCAGCAGGCGTGACGTCTCGCGACATGCCACTGAACTGCTCCACCCGGTCGACTCTGTTCTCCAAATCCATGCTGAACTCGTCTACCATGGTGAGCCGCTCGCCCTGCACCTTGATCTGATCGCTGAGCTCTGTTGTCCTATCCACCACAGCCTCGACTCGGTCATCAATAGACAACTTGAGAAGTTGCATGTTGTGGTACATGCGCGCCTGTACTGCATGGTTGGTCCGCACCAGCTCTTCTCGAGCAAGGCGCTCCCTGAACAGCTCCTGCTTCAAGTCTTGCTCCAGCGTCTCGAAGCGCTTGACCTCCTGCTTCAGCCGCTTCATCTGCTCTACTGCCTGTATGTATGCCTCGGTTGACACAGTCGAGATGGGCTGGGCCTCATGGTTCCACGCCTGGTGTCCGCACCCACAGCGGGAGCGTATGATGGAGTCGGGATAGAAGCTACGGCAGGGGCAGCGCTGGCGGGCGCCCCGCCCCTCAGACGGTGGGAGGATGAAGCCGCATTCTCCGCGGGGGAGCTGAGGTTCGTCGCCAGGCGCGGGGTTTCCAGTCGGATGGACGGGGGCCTGGATGTTGCTATGGAACATCAGGAGTCGACCTGAGGTGGTGGTCGTAGCGTGGTTGCTGTATGGGTAATGGGCGGCTCATGGAAGGCCGGCAGAGAGGGTCTCTGGGTGTACGGAAGGAGCGACTGTGTCTACGGTATCGCACGCAGGGGAGACGAAGCCAAGAGCCTGAGGCACAACGGTTAGCTGGGGCGAGGCTCGTAATATACAGGCACAGGCATGTCGCCCGGGTATGTATGGGGCTGGCGCACAAGATAAGCAATCATGGACTACGTACATTCAGAGCCGGACAGGCGGTGCACGCGGGAGCATCCGAGTGGAAGGTGGCACAATCAAAAGGATGGCAGACCTGTGCACCCGTGGGTGAGAGGGAGGGTTGGAGCAGCGGTAGAGAGCGTAGGAGCGCAGTGGGTGCTGGTCAGGTTTTGGGGCGCTGGGATGTGCAGGTACTCTTTGTTTTTGGCATTGGAACTAGCTCCCGCGCCGGGGATGGCCAGCCCTGTGCTGGGCGGGGACAGTGCTGGGCTGGTTGTGGGTGCGGTTGGAAGCTGGAGTTTGGGGTGTGTGGTGGCCGCCGAGCCAGGAGTAAGAGATAAGACTCACGCCCTCTGCCAGAAAACGCGCCAATGACACGGCGGGCGTGGGAGCCTCGAGACCGCCTGGAGTCGCCGCAGGCCCCATGTGCCCTCTCATTGCGTGCCTGCGCTGCTGCAGCCGCAATGCCCTGCAGCACACCGGGTGGCTTCTCGACACGGCGCCCCTGTGCGACGCTTTATCGCGGCCACGGCATTCATCTGATATGCGCCTGTCTCCACCGCCCACAAGACGTGCCATGCCCTGCCTCTGGACGGTGAGCCAAACCCCACACGAGCCGAGCCTGACGGCCTGAGGCCATTTGTAACACTTCTTCGTCATAGCAGACGCGGAGCAGCGCCCCGATTCCGCAGTGAGGATGCCGGTTCTGGAAGACGCTGGTCCACATGCAGCGTCGTCAAAGGTTTCCAAGGTTGGATAGACATGGTCGTCACCCGTACCAGACGCTTCGTAGGCGCCCGAGAGCGAGGGAAGGATCCATGGTGGTCTGTCCCTTATCGCGACTTCCTGATACACCCCACGCAGCCTGGGGTTCGCTTATCTGATTGGCTTCCCGTCGCATCAACGCAGAACAACTTTGGAACCGCCTTCTTTTTGCCAGCGCGCTGAGGACAGAGATAGTGGCCCGATTGTGGCAAAATCACTCAATGCCACACAGCCCAAGAAGCCTGTACGTCCGCCGTGTTCTCTGCTGCTTCTACACCGCCGACGGCCTTCTGTTGCTGCAGCGAACGATCGCCATTTCACATGCATGCCCGTCACCTACCCGGCACTCAGGCTTCACGGCATGCATCAACATTCGCACCCGATCCAATGCCGGTCGTTCCTTCTGCACGGGGCCTTCGATGTGGCAAGGCGCGCCTGCTCCATTGGTACTCGAGCACCAGCCTCATCCGCATCCTCTGAATGTCCATTGATGCATGTAGGCAGCGGCGTGGTAATGGGGGAGCCCGTTTTGTCGAGTCAGGGGTCTGACAGTGTTGCGTCGATATCTTCTCAACCCAATTCTGAGGTCGACGCTGACCAAAACACGCCACACAAGCCACCCCTTGTTCGTGAGACAGACCCTCTCCAGCGCCAACGTAGGCGGCACAGTCAATCGTCTCAAGCGGCGCAGCGCCTGAAGAGTTGGTGAGTTCAGGATAGTCGTTCTGAACGCGCTCTGTCAAACGCGCTGTCACATGAGACGGTGTGTTAATCCGTCGCACGCTCCTCCAAGTAGCGCGCTGCAGGACCGCGCACCAGCTCAACCACCGAATCCCACGTCACGTAAAGACGTTACACACGCAGGGCCTCGGCGAAACGTGGACGATGCTTGCCACGATGACTGATTCGTCCCACACAGCGCGGCATGTTCATCAAATTCCATGACTTCGCTTCCATCGCGGTGGAACCGATGGGGTAATGGATACCAGTTCCTTCCAAACACTGCAGACTTCGACTGCACGTTTGCTCCTTCGAGAACTCCTGCTACCGGATACTTGGTAAGTATGACATCTGTACGACCACGGAAATATATCTTTTCACGTCGCGAAACGTCGGTATCCCACGTCCTCTTAGCGACATGCCATACCACTTTTCTTCTTCGGCACCGTCACGGCGTGTTCGCTTGATGACATTGCATCGCTCAATCGCGTCTTACTTACGCCCTCAACTCCCCATCCAACCAAATACCCTTCACTTCCACCCAGAAAGGCTAGCCTCGCGGGAGTAGCCGTGGGGCAGCCAGCAATGTGTATCGCGTCCTTCCTGAAACGGCTGTGAAATTCTGCGAATATTTTGTTTGCTTTTCTGTGATCCTGCCACGCGTGCAATCGCTGCAAGTCATCGCACCTTTGGAGGATTCCCACGTGCTGAAAATAAGATGGGAACGGTTGTCGCATTATAACACCGGCTCTCATCGGGCCTGTGCCTCGATCTCTGCTTTCGCGACGACGCGACATGCAACGCTCGAGCACGCGCGGCCCAGGAGATATGAGTGCTCACTCGTAAATTCCTGACGCGATCACGTGGCCAGAACGGCAGCTGCAGTCAGCAGGGAGCGGTCCTTTTCATTTCCATAACTGCGATCGCGGTTGGACTACGTACGGGTAGGGGTGCAGAATCATATTTGGGCCTTCGTCTCAAGAACCGTGCAGCAAGGTTTGGGCTTGCTGACGATGTCTCACTGCCCTCGGAGTTTGCCATGGACAAGGCAGTCCCGGGCACGTCGGGCAGATGACGTCGGAGCTTCGGACGGATCATTCCCCGTCTGAATCTGCCAAGATATCCGAGCATCAAGCCGGTCCTCCTCCAGCAGCGAGCCTAGAGTCGGGGACTACTTACTTTGTCGCGTTCTCCACTACTCTCAGGATTACAAAATGCCGGAAGAGAATTGGATTGCTCATGGAGGCGTCCCCGCGTGCGACTTATGCCATTCCCGGAAGGTGAGTCGCCGACCCAATCGGGCCACTACCTGCATTGCGACTGAAGCGTTGACAGCTCGCAGGTGAAATGTGATCGCAAAGAGCCATGTGCAAACTGTGTGGCAGCCAAGGCGGAGTGCTTGCGCAACAGACACAAGCGCGTTCCTAAGCCTAAAGTTCGGACGTAAGCAACTGCCCATGTCTCGTGCTTGTGACAGATGCAGAACAGGAGTTCTTTTTCTCGATTGGCACCTTTCGTTCCAGCTCTGATGATGATGCAGGGACGAAAAAATAAAAGCTCTCGTGGAGCGGCTGTCGAGTCTAGAGCACTCGGTCCAGAGTGTTCACCGAAGCCCAAGCCTGGCGCAGGAGCAGGAGTGTACAAACAGTTTCGCTGTACCGACCATTGAAGCATCGTCAGACCGACCGACAAAGAGGCAGAGAACAACAAGCTCGCTAGACGTGCCGGCCCCGGTGGCAGCTTCGGATGTTGATAACAGTCCCCAGACAGCACATGAAGCTCGTGTACATATTAGCAAAGAGCTCTCTACCAATGGACTGCTGTCCGGTCATCAGCGTTCTGTCCTCGAGACCGCCATGTCGTTCGTTGACCAGCTATCAAATACCCCAACGCCGACCATGACTGATCGAAGTACTTTTGACGAGTCGATGCATGTTTCCACTGAAATATCCAAGCGCGAGATCTTCAACATTATCCTTGGCAGTAAGTCGATATGCTTGGACAATCTTGACACAGAACTGATGATACTGCTAGCTGAATCCAAAGACCGAGGCAACGCTGCCGTTCGCTACCACACTGTCGATCATGTACCACCAAAGGCGTTTGAGAAGATCGCGCTCGCTTTAATGGAAGGCAACGCGGACGAGAAGACCCTTAATCTGTACAAGGTCATTGTGCACTTTCAAGGCGCTGTTGTACTATACGCAAATCAGCTACAAGGCCCCAAAAGTGCAGCCGTCCAAACGCACATCCAGCAAATGGAGTTCAATCATCTGACAGCAGCGCTTACTGCTCTGGACCGCATTAGTTTCCTAACCGCGCCATCCCTACTACTTGCTCAGGCCTTGATCACTGGGGTACGTCTATGGTAGCTGTGTTACTCCGAGATGATTTACTAATAGATGCAGGCCATCATGATGCAAATTATGGGTAACCCAGTGAGTTGTTGGGAACTCACGGCACATGCATCGCGCACTATTGTAGCTCTGGGATATCACCATATTGATAAGCCAATGCCTGAAAATGACTCCGAAAGCGAGATCTATGCACTTGTCGGCCAATGCGCATTTCTTGACAGTATCATGAGCCTTTTGCTGCTGCGACCAAGATCTCTTCCTCAACTTCCGGTCAAAGCCTCGTACTTGTTACGAGCCGATCCAGCCAGCCCTATGAGCATTCTAGAAATGCTTCCCGTACTCGACAAGATCCTGGATCTGACATTGGACACGAAGCCATCGCCTACTATACTCAACGATGAGGTTGCGCAACTACGGACAAAGATGAAGGACATCTACGAGCTCATGGAGAAGGAACGGCAACTGCATCTCTTGGATAGCAGAACGGATGCTCTCATACACTGGAAAAGCATGGAGTTCAGATACTTTTCTACCCTGACGTCGGTCCACCGCCTCAGTCCCACCGTCACGACAAATCCCTTGGAACGAGAAGAATGCCTACAAAGCGCTCGGAAAGCACTCGAGTGTGCAAAGGACATAGAGGAGCTCGGAAGATCTTTGGATCACTTCATCGAAGGCTATGATCCTTACCTCGCCTGGTAAGTGCGACTAAATTTGATGTCTACACAGTTACTGACGACTACCAGGAGTATGCTTTCTTATCCGCTCTGCCCCTTCTTCGTCGTCTTTTGCAACGTCGTCGGCACATCCAGCGCGCAAGATTTCCAGCTCCTCCAAGATGTCACCGATGGTCTTTCTGCACTCGTTACAGAGAACAAGTATGTACATCGACTACATCGGCTGTGTGCCACGCTGCTGGGTCTCTGCAGGCCCCTGGTGCAGGGTTCTGGTACCCATGGACAGACACCGCACCCGAGCGGAGACTCGACTGGACCGTTGGCGACCTATCCCATGTCGGCAGCTTTCGGGAACGGTTCTGGCATCTTGAACAATAGCGGGAGTGACAACACTGCTGGTATCATGCCATCTTCGTGGAATGACGATATGATGTGGCAGCTGTTTCAGTCGCAACCTTCTCTGGATTGGTTCAACGCTGATATACTGGATCCTTCTTGGGGTCTTGGACAAACACAGTAACTGCGAATCTGAGATACCTATTATGTCATCAATTACACCCACGCGATGATTGTGTCTATATGGTCCGGCATCCTGTTCCCGTATCCGCAGGATATGCGACGTGCGCTTTCTACTAGCTACTGTTGTCCGCGCCGCGATCGTGCGTCGGCATCGGCATCCCGCTTCGGAAGGTACGTATCGCGTGCCGCATATTGTGGGTACGGCACAAGACGCGCACAGATTTCCCGCAGTCGCGTCATGTTATAGATACCAAAACTACTGTACAACGAGTACTATACTCCCCAAGTAACGACTTATAATTAGACCATACTCCTTATATCGGTTACCAAAACAATGACTGACCAACCAGACTACGATGCGATAACTTGGCCCGTCCAACTCACGAGCAAAGTCTACCGCAAAAACAACCCTATCCTGGAACCTAGCAACCGTGCCCTTTCAGCTGCGGGCAAGACCGTCCTAATCACTGGGGCGACAGGTGGCATTGGTCGAGCGATTGCTGAAGCATGGGTAACCGCTGGTGCTAAGGCCATCGTAATAACCGGAAGGAACGAAGAGAAACTACGAGAGGTTGTTGAGAAGTTGGACGCCATAGGTCAAGATAAGACGATGGTACATTCATCTGGGTCCATCGATATCACGAAGGAAGAAGACGTTTCGACGTTGTGGAAGAGGGCAGCAGAAGCCGTCGGCCGAATCGATGTCCTCGTCAATAACGCCGGATCCTTGACGCAAGCTATGATTGGCAAGTGTGAGCCAGGAAAATGGTGGCAGGATTTTGTGAGACCCCTCTCTTTCCTAGAAGCCCCTTCATAGTCACTGACACCTGCTTAGGAAGTGAACGTCAAGGCCGTGCATCTGAACGTGCACCGCTTCCTCGCCCAAGCGCCGGACGGCAAGGGCACCGTGATTTCGGTCTCGACAGGAACATTGGGCGACATGTACCCCGACTTCTCTTCCTACATCCCCAGTAAACTCGCGCAAACTAAGTTCATGGAGTTCCTTCATCATGAGCAGCCTGGCATCCGCACATTCAGCCTCTTCCCCGGCCTCGTTGCAACAGACATGCCGCCGAAGCAGTATCTAGACTTTGCCCTTGACGATCCCATGCTAACAGGAGGCTTGACACTTTTCCTCTCTACAGAAAGAGCAGAATGGTTACGAGGCAGCATGGTGAGTGTGAACTGGGATTACGAGGAGATGGAGATGCACAAGGAAGAGATTTTGGAAAAGAGGTTGACGAAGTTGGCTTTCTGTGATGCGAAGTTTGGGAAAGGAGGTCATCCTTGGGCGACTTAAATGGCGTGGAATAGCTCTGACATCTAGGGATTTTACTTCGCGTTACCAGATGACATACGTACTAAGAACTACGACTGTGCGGCTGCTTGCATTTCCCTTACAGGCACACTCGGTATTCGTCTCTGATACAACAGATAACCCTTGTCAACCAGGATCTACTTGTACGCCACTACATTACCATATAGTTAGTTCGACGACGCGGCTCCAACCATCGACATGTGTACCTTCCTAACATGGTCATTCAATTTATCCTTCCTCGGGAATGGTCTGACACCACGGTCGCAACCGGGTACTGCGCACCAGAACATGTTGCCCGCATCTGGTGGTGCATGGGCCCCGTTATAGTGCCGCACAAGCTCTTGCCGACGACCGAATGTACGTCCATGGCACTGAGGCTCGCTACAAACAAACATGAGCCTCCCAGTAGCGGGCATATATCTGATGACGTCGTTCGTGTCGATGCTTGGTGAGTTCGAACGATAGGTCATGAGGGGCCGCCCGTGTGGGAGAGGAGTGGATAGCGATGAGAACGCAACACCCGAAAGAGTTGGATCAAGAGTCAGTGGCGTATTGTTGAGAGTTCGACCTTGGAAGTCAAACAGTTCTGGCCCCACCATTCCCTGGAGCACGTTGTTTCCGTCATCGAAGGGACTAAACGGCGAATCAGTAGTGCTGTCTTGATGTCAGCCAGGATATTGGAGGCCATAGGCTCTCAGCACATACATGTAAGTGTTCTGGACGGGCTGATAGTGTGATCCCATCGGCTGGTAGACCTCGTTAATATTCTGACACCCATGGAATGAACCTGGAGGTGTGCTATAAGCGTATGCCAATCTAGTGTCAGCTACACTAGTCCTGTCATCATGGTCGACTCCAATCGAGAGCGTGCTCGTGGCATCCGCTGGTCTAGCGATAGTCGATTGACTTTCGTCGAAGTTATCATGATTCGTTACATAAGGAGCGACGGAAGACGCTAAATGATTAGTGAATTCATCTCGTAAATAGCGAAGAACATGCTCACAAGACAACGTGGTGTAAGGTTCGTCAGGCGAGAAACTGGGGCAGTACGGGCATGAAGGACCACATGTGCCAGCAACATAATGCAACCAGCGGAGGTAGTTGTAACCGCTACCTTGGCTCATCATAGCTCAGTGAATTGATGTGGCTATTCAAGATATCCAGGTTGAGTAGGAAAAGAAAGCTGGCGTGGGTGAAACATCGAATCTGATATCGCAACAGGGTCGCTCTCTTTATGCACCAGCTTTCTCAGCTGCAGAGCACCGCTGATTTGAGCAAAAGCAGATACATGGTCATTTTACATAGCCCATTGTGCCCTCCGTGGCGTAGTGTCGTGGCAGACTTGCGAGCAGTTTCTGGGGTGCTTGGTGCGGGAGCCGAGATGTCGGGTAGCTACCTGGGGCAACTTGGCGGCCGAGTATACAACCTGCGGTCAGTGGTGTAACGAGAGGCCTCGCGAAGGAAGCGGTTAGTAGTACGCAGCGGCTAGCTTAGGATCTGATGTACGTGGGGAGCTGCGACAGCGGAGAGCACGGCGCAAGGGAGCGTCGAGTGAACTACGGGTACCTGGGTACCTACCCACACGATGCGCACACAACCATCCAGTTGCGTTCAATGAGCTTCGGGCCCCTATTTTGTCTGCAGTCATGGAAGAAATGCGATCGCAGTCTCCTGTAATTTTCTTGGCGTCTTATTGATAACCCATTGTCCTCGCAGCAGAGTTGAGTCGGAAGAGACTTAGGTACCTGGGTACTTTGGTACTCAGTACAAGTAGGCAACGACCGCCTACCAAACCGAGGGAGGTTTCTTACAAGTAGGCGACGGGTTGATACCAAAGTCGACGCTTTGACGCAAGTATAATGGTGGCGTCCCACGCACTAGTACGACAAGCATAAGCAGGCAACGACCGCCCACCAAACTGAGCAGGAGGTTTCTTACAAGTAGGCGAATTGTTAATACCAAAGTCGACGACGCCCTTTGACGCAGGTATAACGGTGGCGTGCATAAAACCTGGTTCTTGGCACGTGTACGAGAAGCTGACTGGTTGCGCCTGGCCCGCTGCCATGTCAGATGTTGTTCGGCTGCTGTATTACGCAGTAGCGTATCTAGCCAGGTTCAAAAGACCCCTCTATCACTCGCCTCATTTCTTGGAGATCGGCACCCGCATGTACCAGGGTATACAGGAGCTGCGGCTCAGAGCCCTTGGCACCAGGCAGTTTCTTTTGCATGTTCATACGCTTTTGATGACATACTGAGGCTAAACGGTCTACGTCTACGTGCCATTTTTGAAGAAACTGCACAGCGAAGTTCCCGCCCCGAGCCTTACGATAAGGAGCCGATATGCGAAAGAAACATGGAAGTCATGGGCGCTCTCGTTCGGAAACGGCGACTCGATGACTGTGTACCAGAAATCGCTGCGTCGTTGCAATACAAAAAGGTCAACCCCACAATGCAATATCAAAGAAACCTCAATCTCTATCCTTTACCCTCCCCGTTTGCAACCATTCAAGGTGCTCCAAGAACGTGTGATTGATCCTGTACAACCGCTGTCCCCGATCATTCGTCGCCCACTTCTTCGTGAACATGTCCTTGTACGGCCAGACGTCTTGTCGAATCGTCCGTCCAGTCTTTTGCAAATGTCTGACAAGTGATGAGTACTAATGCTCTTCTTGCATGCGGGGTTGATGCAGACTTACACATAGTTCGCGCGTGCTAGGTAAAGATATTCGACAAACAAGGTTACGATGGAGTGCGCGACCACCACATCCACCCAACTATATGCCTTTCGCCATAAAGCCAGATATACTATGAACAAGGTGAATGTGCCAATATAGCTTCGAAAATAAACATATGCATATCTATATTCTGGAAGCAATGCCTAGGCAAGCCTCCGATTAATAAGCGAGCATGTCTAGAAGGAAGGAGGACTATCTTACCTCAACATCGCTGCCATAGTTAGCGGGCAGAAGATAGATCAATTTCCTCGCAACAAAGGTGTAATAGACGAGTTGAAAGCGCCAGCCGTCAATGTTGCACCCCAACCATGTCATGCGTAGAAGAGACCTGCCCCAGAATGGACACAAGCAGACAAGGAGGCCGTAAACGACGTCCCAAGCCATGGCAGTACCCGTTCTTCCTCTGCTGAAGTGCGCAATGGAAACGCACGTAGTGCCTACAACGTAGAGACGAACAACAACCGCCCAAAGTGGCAGTGGACTGAGCAGCTGGGCATATGCGAGTATGGCGAAGATCAGCGCAATGCGTATCGCATTGCGAAGATTGAGTGGTGAAGGTTTCGAAGTCATGTCACTGTCCGACAGTACGATTATGTCGTAGGGTTGATATTTCAAGAAGCTGAAGTGTTTTGGTTTGATGAAGGGGTGGTGGGGCTTGTGTAACAGTTGATAACAAACAACACATATAACAGGCGCCTCTTGCGGGGTAGTGAACGCTAGAAACAAAGTGTCCGGCTATCATTCTCAACGGACGCTCGACTTGACAAGCCACAGACTCGTTCCATACAGCCAACATGCAAAGGAAAACCAGTGTGAAAATCAGCAAAGGCAATCTGGCATCAGGTCGTTTGGAGCTTTCGCTGCTTCGCGAAAGGGTGTAGCATCCACGCGAGGCGAAGATCTGACCTAAACCAGGACGTTGCGTGAAACATGTCAGCCGACAGATGA